TTTGGTTTGCAGCATATTTCAATTAACTTATTCGTTATTTGTACTATTTTGTTAAATTATTTAATTAAATTATTTATTATATATAAGTTTAACAAATAGTACAAAAATAAAAAAATATAAATTACAAAACCATAGCAAATACTGTATAATAACATAGGCCTAACACATTTAAATTTATTGTTTATAGTCATGCAAAATCATATTAAAAATGTAATAACTTGATTATTTTTTAAGTTTGGTTTGCGGCGTATTTCAATTAACTTATTCGTTATTTGTACTATTTTGTTAAATCATTTAATTAAATTATATTTATTATATATCATTATATATAATAAATGATAAGAATGTATGGAGTTTTTTTTTTTGACTATCTGGCAAGCTGACTGAATTAGACAGATGACTATAAACAATAAATTTAAATGTGTTAGGCCTATGTTAATATACAGTATTTACTATGGTTTTGTAATTTATATACTTTTTATTTTTGTACTATTTGTTAAACTTATATATAATAAATGATAAGAATGTATGGAGTTTTTTTTTTACTATCTGGCATGCTGACTGAGCAAATACTCACAAAATTTAAATTAAAACGATAGAAAGAACAAGTAAATAAATTGAAATACGTCCCAAAAATATTTAATAAATCAGTGCAAAAACCGAGTATTAAATAAATTTAAATAAATAAAGTAAATAAACTGAAATACATCCCAAACCACAGACAGTACCAAGAACGAATAAGCTAATTGAAATACGCTGCAATTAACGCACTAAATTCACTGAGAGACGTGCTTGGCGTTCCATAGAAATGACCGGTGGCTCAACATGTCAGCGGCTCAACCGGTCATAATCCCATTAGTAACGATCATTGCGCGGCCGTGGCAATGCTTTCTTAAATAAGAATCGCGTCAACAGACGATCACCCGGCGCAGTAAGTGCCCGGCTTAAGAAGTGTACAACAAATCATTATATATTTAGTATTATCCATCTTCTTCTTTCTAGCCTAGACTAGCTAGGTTCCTGGGCCTAGGCTAAACTGGCCTAGGCCCTAGGCCTACAGTAGTAGTAGTACTTCCCCTATAATAGAAGGCTACCTAGGGCCTAGACCCTGTATTACTATTATTAGGCCTTGGTTGGTTGGTCAGTATTCACAGTAAACAGTATTAAATTATTAAAGTTACAGTAATAATAATACAATCCAATACAAATCCACATAAAAGATTACTTACTTCTTTAATTCTGGTGGATGTGCTTTACTCATGATGGATTATTTGGATAAACTTTTCAAGCAATAACCACTCTGTTTTGGATTTACAAGACGCGCTGCCTCCGTTTTTACATACCGCCCTCTACCGGTTTCACCGATTGAGATTTTGAAAACAAAAATAATATATAATATTGTAAATCAATTTAAATAATTACTGCAACCATATGGCCTAATAGCTTTTGTAAATTCGCAATTGTAGTGATATTACTATGATGTGATGTATCAGACATTATGTGAAAGTAATTGTTGAAGACTATAATTATTGGATCTATCTGCAGTATTCCAAATTCTGGCAAACGATGTTGTTTGTAATTTGTATAACCTGGCAAAGTAATGACGACTGAAGAGTTGCGAAAGAGCTTACAACAAAAACAGCTTTTATTTCTTCAAAATATCAATTAAAGAGGCAGTTTATACGACGGTAGGCACAAGGATTGTTAGTGAAACAGTGGAATATGCTTCCACGAAATAATGAGTTGCTGTGTGGTGTCGTTGAAGGTATGTGTATTTAGCGTTTCGGGTTCATAAGGAAGCAAGGCAAAAGAGTAGGCCTAGCCTATGGCCTAGGCTAGGCTCCTAGCGGCCGAGGGTAGGCCTGCCTCTAGGACCTAGCCTAGGCTTGGTCGGTAGTCAAGGGCCTAGCCAGGACCACATTGTAATTAAGCCTAACAAACAACTTCATTTACATAACGTAGGCCTACTGTAGACAGGCCTTAGACGGATTAGATATGTGATTGAATGAACATTATTCACACAACGTATATGTTTTTTGTAATGTTATCATCATTGGTTATGTTTTTTCCTTTTTTGATTTTGTGTATACTGTATATCACATGGCCTCATATAATGGGGCTCTCTTAGACTCATACTACTGTGATGACAAGTTTTTTAATTGCGTGGATGATACCTCAAAAACTAGCTCAAATTTGCGCGGAATATTTGCTAGGAAAATAAGTGCGCAGATTCGTAACTACTGCATAATACATTTATTTTATTAATGTCAAAACCTAATTTTCAGCAAAATCTGAAATACGTGGACGGATCTCTATTCCTAATTTTTGCTTGGAGGATATATTCCCCGTGCAGGCCTTACATTACAGTCTAGTCCCGGAAGAATAAAAAATAAATAAAATAAAAAAATAAGGCTTACTCGGGAAGTAAGCCTGTATCCCCTGCGCAAAAATTAGACCTAGAACTCTGTCCGCTCCTGTCAGAAATTAAAGTCCAATTTTTGCCAAAAATTAAGCCTTGGCCTGTTTCTCAATATACAACCAGAAATAGCAGTAATTACGATTCTGTGCACCTATTTTCCTGGTTATTTTCAGTGCAAATTGAGTTGGTTTTCAAAATATTTTCCGCACAAACAAATAATTTACACTGTGGGCTCTCTAATTTCTTTTCATATCTAACATCTAACAACTTGCTGTATACAAAAGTTAAAACCATACAATTACTAATTTAATAATATCAGTAATACTTGCATGTGTGTTCTTTGATAATTTTGTTTATTGGAATATCTTAGGTATATCACAAAATTAGGAATTCTAAAGGTTTAACTTTAATTGTGTTTCAAGTGTCATTAAGCAATCTCTTCCAGAACTTAGCAAAACCAAGAATAACCGGATTATTAGGTCAAGCTAACATGACCTTTCAATTCATTAAATTTGTTAGTATGGCCTTGCCGGAGGTCAGTAGATGCAAAAACATGAAACAAATATTTTAAGTTAATAGCATATTGAATTAAGTGTAGTGAATTAATTTTCTTTTTCTAGTTTAATTTATTCATCATACCCTTTGTTGTCATAATATTTACCAATATTTCATTTCTGTCTCAGACATCAATCCTTATACATGGGTTATACACCATTTTATCGGGTGTATTTTGAAACAGCACCACTAAAGTCTAAAGACTCATAACTTTTCACTGGGGGACATCCAGCAAAGCAGCAGCAACAAAACAATAACCAAAAAAACCCCTATGAGCCCCTATTTCCTTTATTGTTTGTTTTTGCATTTTTTCTTCAAAGACTAGGCTACAACTGGAAAGAAAGTTGTGTATTGGCCACATATAAAATTAGCATGGTAACTGCCTCTGGATGTTCCCCAGTTGTAGTTGCCAGGTTGTCGGGAATTTTCATTTCAAATTTGGTGAAAATGGTGTATACATGATTTTACTACTAGAGCCAAATTTGTATAATAAAAAAAAAACAGAAAGTAATGATTGCTGCTAGCCTCAAGCAGACCTTTACTTTGTATTTTCTTCCACCCTCCACCAAAAGATTTTGCTGCTAATTGTCAATGGTTTGGTATGGCCAGGTATTCCCGACAACCAAGCCTGGTGCACCCTCTGGTGTCGCTCCTGAATCCATACTACTGTATGGTTCGGCTTTAAAATGACAGCTGATGTATTAAGGAATTACATTAGATATACTGTATAAGCTAATTGCAGAAGAGAGTAAACAAGAATTTTATTAAATCAATCACCTCATGGCTAAATATAGTAATACATTATAATAATAAAAAATTACAGGATTCTATGGCAGGCCATGGCGTACTGACCAAAGGAAAGATCTGTTCTGCTTGATGAAACGTCTAGGCCTCAACACGTATATGTATGCGCCCAAAGATGATGCTAAACATCGAGCTTACTGGAAAGACTTATATTCTGTTGAAGAAGCAGGTAAAATTACGATAAGTTATTTCAGTGGTACCTTGTTATATTATTTTTTTAAAAAAATATAGTATGTATGAATACATACAGTACCAACAATACGTAGGCCATATCATGGGTGAAATAGCAGCATATTCTCAGTGAAATCATGGAATTGCTTGTTGTATCCAGGCACAGTGTTTTCTTAAGTGATGCAGTCTACCCTCAAGAAAATAATGGAATCACCTACTGTATTTATGCACATTGTTTTGAGTGTTGCCTGAATTTCGAGGGGCGACTCCATTATTTTCTTTTATGCTCGATTTTATCAACTCAAATTTCTTTGACCTTTGACCTTTTCTTCTGAAAATTGAAAAGTACTGTATCTTTGATTATTATGTACCATTCCTCTAAATGTTATGATGATCCATTCATTAGCTTTTGTGTAATCTTGCTAACAGACAGACTGAAGACAGACAGACAGCAATGAACTCCTTGGCTGAGGCAATGAAATAGCATTGGGTTCTGCTCTTCTTAAGTTCTTATATTGGTAATTTTTATTACAGATCATTTAACAGCGTTGATCACGGCTGCCAGGGAAAGTGATGTGCAATTTGTTTACGCCTTGTCACCAGGTCTGGACATCATCTACTCTAGTCCAAAAGAAGTGACAGCACTAAAACGGAAACTTGAACAGGTATACTTCAGATAACTTCGAGAATTAGATTTTTATTGTTTTGTGTCTTTTGTTTTTTTTATAGGTTTAAAAGCAAATGTATATTATGTCATCGTCAGACTCAGTTCTGTATGTTTATTTGCTGGGAAATTAACAAATTGTAATTTTTCAATGTAAATTTTAAAAAGGTCATTAAAAATATATTTTATATAATTTTATTGATAAAAGCCAGAACATAATGTTTTGAGAAGCCATCCAATGCTGAGAAAACAATTCATTATAAAGTAACAAGCATAAATACTCCAGATTGGATTTGTAGATTTGTGTTGAAGATGCTTGCCAAAATATAGTAATAATAGATACTTTATTTTAGCACTGAAAAGTTGATTCACCCAAGGGTGCAAGGCCAAAAAATGCTATCCAGTACATACTGTACCTTATCCATTTTATGTTTTGAAAAAACTAATGAAAACGTTATATTGGAGGGAGCTGTGATTTGGTGGTCGATATGCTTAATAATAATAATTTGAATATTTTGCAGGTTTCTCAGTTTGGCTGCAAGGCGTTTGCCCTTCTCTTTGACGACATTGACACAGACTTGTGCCAAGCAGATAAGGATGGTTTCCAGTCTTTGGCACATGCGCAGGTGTCAGTCACTAATGAAGTCTATGAGCACCTTAATCAACCTTGCTTCCTGCTTTGTCCAACAGGTAGGCACTAGGCACTCGTGTCAATGTCAAATGTGTGCTTTAGAATGTTTTCTATGATCTACACTTCCTACCATGTTGCAGTGTTTTTAATAGTTTGAGAATGATCATATATGAAATGCAAGGTGCCATTTAATATAAATTATTCACTGCTAGTAAAGAAAAGTTCATCTTCCTCATCAGGACATCTGAATATGACATCTGCTACCCTGCCATCAACTTCTCAATGAAAGATTCCATTTATCATTCCTGATGATGACATAATTAATGTCGAAATATTGAATCCCAACACGATGGCATGTATTTCAATACTTGGAGTATGTATTATACTTTCTGATTCCATTTGTGGTCTTGAATTTGATATACAATATTACTGTTCCCTTCCCCCTCACCAGACTATATTTAAAATGTCAGTATAATTGACTGATTATTGATTTAGTGATTAATTGACTGATTTACAATAAATTGTTTTGTTTTAGCTTTCAGAGTTTCAATAAATTTTAGCATTTTCTTTAAGCAAAATTGCAGTACATAATCAATCCACTGCATATATCTTTGGTTTTTCTTAGTTAAACAGCATTAAAATTTCAAAATGTTATTTAGTAATCCAATTCATATCCGCTGTCTTAGAATAAAGTTATATAATTGTTTACATTTCTCCCAAAAGAATATTGTGCTACAAGGGCAACACCTAGTGTAGAATCATCGGAGTACCTGGCAACTATTGGGTCAAAGCTTCTGCCGGATATTCTCTTCATGTGGACAGGTACAATAATACATGTAATCAATTTTTCTGCTCTCTGGCAACTATTTTTAATCTTGTGGTCTTTTCTATGGATGTTGAAACATGGGAATATTACAATAAAAAGAAAATAATTCTGTCTTTATTTTATAGGACCAAAAGTTGTATCAAAAAACATCAGTGTTGAGTCAATCAAGAAACTGTCAAGTGTGATTAAAAGGAAACCAGTAATTTGGGACAACATACATGCGAATGATTATGACCAAAAGCGACTTTTCTTAGGTAAAGTTGCCTACGTTTATTCATCTTAGTTATCTTTTAAACAAAATTATGTTACAACAGCCATATATACAGCAATGCTTAAAAAGATAATAAGAACTATGATTACATGAAATAGATATATAATAGCATTAAAAGCCATAGCACTAATAGCCATAAAAGCATTCATAGTCTGGCTTTGACTAAAGTAAAAACCCTGAATTTTAAGAGACAGTTGTCAGTTTATTTCTATCAATTCTGTTTACTGAAGCCCAGTCTTGACTATCAAATTATATTTGATAAAAAAAAATGTGACATACCTAAATATGGTCATGATGACATCACATAATGTCCATATATAGGCACATCATGACTATATATGGGCATACAACAGTTTATTTGTAAAGGAAAATTTGATAGTGAGGACAGAGCTTTAGTGTAAACAGAAACTAAGACTGAACATTATTATTTTGCAGGTCCATATGAAGGTAGATCAACAGAGCTGATACCATATTTGAACGGTGTAATGACCAATCCAAATTGTGAATATGAATCAAATTTCATAGCGTTTCATACACTTGCTTCTTGGGCCAAAAGCGATCTGGAAGAAGACAAACAGGACCATGCAATGGGTAACAAATTTTTGTTTTTCCAAGTAGCTATATATATAGTGACAGATTAAAAACAAACAAAGAAATTGCTAACAATGTTGATAAACATATGGGGTTTGCCGTGCCGAAACCAGCATCAGTGATTAAAACAAGAAAATTGACTTTTTATTATATTCATATACTGCACATTATAAGCTTTAAAATGGTAGGTCATTTACTGGGATCGACTTACTATTGCCAAAAGCGATCTGGAAGAAGACAAACAGGACCATGCAATGGGTAACAAATTTTTGTTTTTCCAAGTAGCTATATATATAGTGACAGATTAAAAACAAACAAAGAAATTGGTAACAATATTGATAAACATATGGGGTTTGCCGTGTCGAAACCAGCATCAGTGATTAAAACAAGAAAATTGACTTTTTATTATATTCATATACTGCACATTATAAGCTTTAAAATGGTAGGTGATTTACTGGGATCGACTTACTATTGCCAAAAATATGAGTAAGATTATTACAGCTTCTCTGTACTAAAGTATACGCTGCTGCCACATTCTTGTGCTAGTTACTCAGTTTAACATTTAGTGACGGTACTCTGGTTTTGGGATGGCATGCCTCATACTGTCTGGGTTGAGTAGACTCAAAATTGCTTCCTTTTTCAATATAAACATGTTTTGAACACAAGAATGATACCATTCATTTATTCTTAATTAAGCTTGTCATAAGTTACAGGGTTTTTTTTTTTATTAAAAAATTAGCGAAAACCTACTTTATTTGATGTTTGCTTCATTACAAGTTTATAATTCATTTGAACTTTTTAAAAAATTATTTTATTGATTTTTTTTATGACATCTATATTTTATGGCAGGCAGTTTATCATTAATTTTCATGAATTATATCTTTCACTACTGTATAGAAGCCTCCTATTTGCCATATTTATGCATTTAAGATTTCTAAGATTGAATTTGTAGTGCAATAGTCAAAATAATGATGATGATCACAGTTATAGTGATATTAATCATAATATTTGTCATTTGTTTTATTTTTCAGGGAAGCATAGTTTATAATGTCGCATTGTAACTTAATCGGTATTGTATTCTTATTTTTGTAGGTGATATAGGTGATATTTCAGACAATCCCACAATAGCAGCAGAAATTAAACTTGAAAGGGATGGGGATAACGAAACACGGCAAAGCCCAGTCCCTAATCATGGATGCTACCGTCCAGAATTCGCTTTAAAAGCTGCCATAGCCGATTGGCTTGAAGTCATTCAAGAGGCAAGAACAGCAGAGGGCCTCCGACTTAAATCCCCGGCCCTAATGAACTCGAACTTGGCGGTGGTTGCCGCCATTTCTGCCCCAATCCCAAGCATTAACACATGTATGGCAGTGACTCAAACTACGAACACTGTAATGCCGCCGGTACCGCCCGAAGGAACTTTAAATGCTGACCTCATTAAGAATAGTGGCAGCAACTACACACCTATGATGAATCCTGTAAATTCTTTAGTTACGAAAACAACGGATGAAATTTTGGAACCAATGGACTGTCTACCTGAAAACGGAGCTCTAAAATCTGAGCCCATTCCAACGAAAACGAGCTCCGTTGTATCAATATGTCCGCCCACTGTTTCTAAAAACTTTGACACTGTTATGCAGGTGGATGACAGTCTAAGCAAAGATTCTAACGGCAAGACAGATCCTGCTTCTAATAGTGTGATTCTTAGCAGTACTGATACAAATGACACCGAAATGCAAATTGATGTGGATCAAAATGGAGGCGAGAACATGGACGATGTTAAGCCTACGGAAGAGAATGACATTGATCCTCCTGAATTGAATAAATGTAGCATTGTTAAACTGACTGTAGAAGATGTAGCTTTGTTAGTAGACCTTTTTTATTTACCTTATGAACATGGCAAACAAGCAGTTCATTTACTAGAGGAATGTTATTGGTTAAAATCTTATGCTTATGCAGTCACAGAAGCTAAGAGAAGTGGACATCCATCAGATAAGGTAAGGTAGCATTTTTGTGTTGTACAGGTCTCTCTCCATTTAAAGATCACTTTTGGGACTGAGGTTTCCAAAGTGTTTAGCAGCTTTGGTCTCTAATTAGAATAATAAAGATAAAAGATATGTAAATTTGGGACCACAGAAATATAGTCTTTAATTATAGGGGTCTTTAATTACAGGGAGAAATGTATTTATATAATTGTGCTTTCCATCTACAATGGACTATCATCCCATCCAGGGAGAATATCACATTTACATCCGCTTTATACTATAGGAATTGGGGATAAGCTTCAGCCTTATGAATCTTGTGGTTAAGAATTCAAACCATGAGCTGATATTCTTGGCCAGCCATACTTAGGTACCCCAGCTTGCACTGTAGACGGATTGTGAAGTGCTTAACGCTATGTTTCAGCCCTAGGGGCGAGTATTGTTATGTCTTAAAAATGAAATAAATATTGTGGTCGCTTCACATCAGCCCTACTACATCAAGATACAACAGTGTTGTCATGATTCATGTTTTTTTTTAATTTTTAGGCACTTGAATGGTCTGAAAGAGCTGCTAAGTTTGTAGAAAATGGCAAGCGAATGAAAACGATGTTTACACGGCTAATGAATATTCCTAATCGTGCTCTATTGTACGACCTATACGGATATATATGGGATATGGAAGGTGTTATTTCAATGCTGGTGTCATTCGTGAAGTGGCTTGGTACGTATTTAGGTGTTACAAAAAGATGACTGACTAGGGAAGGTGGTGGTGGTGGGGGAGTTTAGTGTTGAAAGCAGAAGCTCTGTGTGAGACAGATTGGCCATCTATCTATTTCACTGGAGATTAACATCAAGGAAATGGTTAATGATTTGCAAGTTTTATGGAGATATATTTTCGAGCCTTAAACCAAGTTAATAAACATTAATACCTAGGGAAGGCAAGCCTTCTTAAATTAATTTTTAATTTTAAAACACTTGATCTGGGATGCAAGTTAAATTTCTCCTTTGGAGTTGAAGTGGCCCTTCTACTGTATAGAACAATTGGCTTGGCATTCTGAAAAAAAAAAAATGATTGATTTATTGTAAACAAATGGTGTATCTATCAATGTGTTTTATGTGGTACAAGATGAGCTGAATTTTGCTTGTTTGAAAGAATGATTATTATATTTAAATGGACCAATGAGAATCCATTGTTTATTTTAGTGGACCAATGAAAATCTAGTTTTTATTTTAGTTGACAAATGAGAATTTACCTATTATTATACTGTAATCCAACAACCTTTTAGTAATTCTTGACTGGCTTTTAATGTATTTGATAATTGGAATGCCTTGCTCCAGTAATTATTAATAATTACATTATTACCACCATTCTCTAATGATGATTGGGTGTTGGTGATTAACTAACTGAGATACATATTGATCAAACAATTTATCCATACATCTGTGAGGTATTATTAATACCAATAGTGTATTTTTTTATCATGTGTTACTAGATAAATAATTAGAAATTACGCATAAAATTTGCTACATAATTTAAATTATTACCAATATTGAATTATCTGTAAAAGCTTTTATTACAAAGGAATTTTTTTTTCTGGCATGAGAATTTTTTGCAAATTATTACAAGAAAATACATGATAACCAAATCACTTGGCTCCTCACATTTTAAAGAAATGTTTCAAAGATTAATCGATTTTGTTCTTTATCGATTTAGTTCAAGAAAATTATTACAGGACAAGCCTGGAGTTTATTATTGTCATTGTTCCATATATGGAATTTCAAAATAGATAACGTCTGAGATTGTACTATTTGAATACTGTAGACAATCTTACCCGTCTAATAAATGTATAGTTATTACTGTATGTTTTATAGTACAAACTAAATTTAACATGAGAATGAACTAAATCATTTAGAACTATGGTCTAGAAAATTCTAATTTCCATCACAAATTGAATATGAACTTTAAAATTGACATTTAAAAGTTGGAGAATTTACAGCATTGATATGTTGAAGCTACAGACTCAATGCTATCCAGAATTCAGAATATGTACGCATCTTTATATATTCATTAATAAGTGTGTTCGTTGCACATTGAAAAATATCACACTATCTAATAAGGATTTAAAATTATGTTTGGTGGAAAGTTTTCTATTTTGAATACATTTGTGAAGGTTTTTGGCCATTTTCACCTTCCTTGAAACATTTCTATTTTTGCGCTAAACCGGTTACTTTGTTTTCAGATTCAAGAATAGCTGCGCGGGTGTCATTCAACATGTCAGGTCACAGTTAAAATAAGTTACCTACTCTCATTTACGACATCATAATACTAAATATGTTGTTATGCCCTGATGAAGTAATCAAGTACTTGTTGAAAATCACAAAGAATTAAAAAATGTTTGTTCAAAAATGATTTGCATAAACCTTGATACTGCTCCTGTTCGTTAGCAGATGCTTCATACACTTAACCATTCCTGCGTGGTTTTGGGGTGGTGTCTCAGACTCTTAACAGTCCTAGTGAAAATATCTTGAGAGTGAGTCGTAAATGTTTGTAGGAATTATGATGACTAGAACAAGACATGTTGAAGATGATTTATCAATCAGATTGACGGACATGTTGATGTCCATTTAAACAATGTATATTTCAGTCATTCTTTACCAACACTGCCAATTAATTCAGAGAATGGTGATGAGAAAAATATTATGGGCTACGCTAAATTTCATAAAAATACCGTGGTTTTATTCTTCCAAAGCAAGCATTATTCATTCTCATCAACATCTTTCAAAACGAAGTTGATACACAGACATGACACCCCTTATTTTTTAAATGGAACAGGCAGAATATGACAAAATTAAAATTCTATTGGTAAATGTCATTGTGTATCAATGGTGTTGGAAGATGCCATTAATATGATGGGTTGTTCTTTTTTCTAACTAATCTGTATGTGTTTTTTCTCTCTTATGCAGCCCATGGCTTGATTCAACAGATGCACTCCCATATCTTGCACAGTTACTACTCATGTACGCATTCTTCAGATTCTGACTTTTTTACTTCCCTGTGTTAATAATATATAGATCTACGATTTGTTAAAACATTGCAGCGATGAGAGAGACAGAATGCCCTCCCACATGCATGTCGTTTGCGTGTGTATTGCGGTAAGGTATTTTACACACATTGTGCACGATGTGTCTAGAGCCACGATCTGTTGAAGCATTGACATGGTTCTTGATTTGATCTGAGGTGGTTGAAAGGTTTGTTATAAATGCACTAATCCCTATCTTCTCTTCACCCCTAGAAATCGCGACCTGGACTGAAAGTTAATACTCATCAATAAATTCTCTGATTTTTTTTTTTTTGGTTTCTATTTTATTTTCGTACCATTATGATAATGTTGATTGTTTTTATACAGGACTTGTGTGTAGTGTAGTTTTGCTCCCTGTGCTTGAACCAGTTTCAGTATATTAGTACTTTATATACATTCAGACACAAGTGCTACCATGTAAAACCACTTTGTGATGGCTTTCCACATTATATTCGTTTGTGGTTCTGATTATACTGTCTGTATGTTAAGCTAGCTAATAACCTGAAAAATTCATTCAATAATAATTGAGTTGCTTTGTTTATTTTATGAAGTTATTAACATTTAATTGAAAATCAGAACGAAAAATATAGTTTCCTCGCCAATTTACAGGCTCTCAAATAATAGGCCTACCATTTCATATATTTAAGTATAAAGATTTTAAGACTTTAAACTGGCTGGTAATCACCTTGAGAATTATTGTAGAAAGCAGTCTGTAACATTAGCGAAAATCAAAATTTTCAATCTGTGTCTCGTTAAAAGTTGATAACTTTCTCAAAATTGCTTATAAAACAAGCAATTCAATGTTGCATGTAAATTTTTGGGGGTTTTAGAATATTATTACAGACAGTATATCTTTAATATTTTATGATTTATATTTCAAAACAAACCTTATGTCATTGAAAGCATAAGGTGAAATTAAATTTCATCAAATTTTTGAAATAATTATATTGCAAAGTGGTAGTGATGCTGCTGTGTCATTTGCATACATTTATAACACTCTTTACTCATTGTAATTTACTTGAATCATTTGCAGGGGGAAATCACACCCACAGAGAAGCGTTTATGAGCGGCGACCTAGAACCGTGGGTATTTCGTGGCGGGCTGACCGGAGAATTACAAGTATGCATGTTATACCCAACAATATTTCTCTTCTTCAGACTCTGTTCTGTCAATTGAGCTGCTGGAGGCAACTTGCATTGTTGGCCGACGGTAGAGCCACAGTACTTTTAGGAGAAATAATTCCTGGAGCACGTACCCATGTGTATTCATTTCAATATTTATCTAATTCTAGTCTGGACCTCAATTAATATACAAAGCTATATCATGCTATACATTTTGCTAAGTGCAGGTTGCGAGCCACAATTAATACGCAATCATTCCACCATTTAATCCTGCCAAGAATAAGTGATCTGTCATTGGTAAAGCACCACCGCGTAAATTGCTGAATCATTTGCTTATAGAGATTGTTTTTATTTTATTTTATCAAAGTCCAACAGTGACCAAAGTCACCCTTTACAAGATGCGCAGATCTTATTTATTTCTTACAGGAAGCAACTTGTGTGATTTTTATTACAGGATTCTGTAACACTTCTCTTTGGCATTTATCTTTTGTTTTCAGATAAATCACCCACCTAGCAGTCCCACAAAGTCACATGATCATTTAGTTTGAGCCAGCATTAGGGTATTTAGTGTGCTAATCACATTTAAATAAAATGAATATTCAGAACTCTATATTGAATATTTCTCTAATTGGCTATAATGTAGTCTACAAGATATATAATTATTTTATCTGGAGCATCCACTAGTGTAAACCTAGTAAAACAAACATAGGTTGTGTTTTTATGGAATTCATGAAAAAAAAATTGAATTTGTGATAAATACATAAAATTGGTAATGACTGAATGAACCATGTGACTATGGGAATGCCTCATACCCCTCATAATATTTGTGTTGCATAATGATATCTACATCCAACTGCGTACCAAATTAGCATTTAGCAGCTGTGCGATGCAAGCATTTTAATTAACGTGTGCTGTGGCTCTATCTTCAGCTGTGTGTATATATATATATATATATATATATATATGTATATGATAAAAGGGCTAATACTCACTGGGTGGGGTACTTAGTTAAGAGTAATACATGCATCTGATAATTTTCTTTGTGGAAAGAATTTTAAAAACAATGACCTTAGCTGTGGGATTAATTACTATTCTCATGTAGTGAAATATTATCTATTGAATAAATTTTAATTTTTTGGTTTGTTTGCTTCCTGCAGCGTATGTTACCAATTGACGGCGCCAACGATTTGTTCTACAAAGTTCCACCGAAACAAATATGCAACAAGATTTACACAATTCGTCCATTTCGAGTTTCTGATGAGGTACGTCTCATGATTTCAGTTTTAGATCACTCTTGATGAAGAACACACTAAAAACACTTGCTTTGTGGAAGCAGTAGGCAGGGCTGTAAACTATGAAATCATGATTTTTCTTCGCCAGGGGTCCCAAGTCTCTCGGAAGTCGCAGGAGTCTCCCGGAAATCAGGACGGCCTCTCACACTCCCGCAAGCAAGCAAGAGTTTCCCCTAAAATAACCCATCTCCTGCAAATTCATAATATTTGCATGTTTTTACTACCTTCTTATTGATTGTCTACATAAGTCAGTGCCTATGGGTGTCGCCAGGAAAGTAAAATAAAATATGTTAAGAAAACACATTTAACTAGATCTCCTGGAAGGAATTTCTTCCAACTTGGGACCCCAGCTACACTGTCCTCATTTTGTTTATGTTTGTCTTTGTCAACTTTTAAAAAGATAACCTAAAGATATATTTATTAATTGGTCCATAAAACATGTTTTCTATCACCATGCCCTAGGTCACTGTGGTTAAGTGTCACCAACCAATGAATGGCCTTGAAAATGACTAGAAAATACTCCCAACGTTCTGAGGTTGTTCTTGGCTATATAGATCTAAAACTGTGTCCACACTATCATTTTTTTTAAAATGTTGTATGGCCATATATAGTCATGATATGCCTATATATGGTCATGATGTGCCTATATATGTCATGATGTGCCTATATATGGTCATGATGTGCCTATATATGGTCATGATGTCATCACAACCATATTTAGGCGTGTCACATGTTTTTATCAAATAAAATTTGATAGTCTGGACAGGGCTTTATGAACAGTGGTAATAATGTTGTAGGCACACTGATAACCTCTCTCCATGTTTACAAAGGCATGCTATAAATAGATTGATAGTTATTAATAAATTGGTAAAAGGTGAATTAAAACTTTACTTATTATTCTTGCTGTTATTTAAATAGTTAATAAGATTTTCAATATTGTATTCTTTGCATACAGTTGGGAATATTTCGACAATGCCGGTTGACGTACCAAGATGGTAAAGATGCCACCGATTTGTTTCCAGATCAACTTCATCTACCAGGAAACCAGTAAGCTTTCACTTGTGTTGGGGTTAGGTCTTAGATGATATGACTGAAGGTGAAAGCAGGGACGAATTAGCTCTAATCTCTCAGCTATTTACCTGTTATTTTTTAGAATTCCAATCAAATCCAATCCGAACTTCGACTTATTCTCACTCTTAATCAAAACCCATGCCTCCTGAATAAAAATTAGAGAAGTCACTGTATCTAACGGAATTTTGCATAATCATGATGATCATCTTGTACACCTTGGCTATGTAGCTTTCCTGTGTTTGACAATACCTTTTGTAAACAGTACACATATTTTATGCACAATTTTAAATTTTAACATGAAATATACAGATTTTAAAAAATTTTGTAATCATCTTTTCTGATTTATCATTGCCATATTAGGAAAGTTGGCGCATTACTTACATTTAGTCCTGAGTATTGTTTCGTTGCCGAGGAAGACGGGGAGTTGTGTGGCTATGCCCTGGCAACCCTGGACTCTTTAGAATTCCAGAAGAAATGTGAGGTGGCTTGGTTGCCAGAAATGTGTATGAAGTATCCTAAACCAGAGAAGACAGAAGGTCTGAACCTCGCTGAGGTACTTACATCTTTTATTATTTAAAGTAATTGTGTATGACAGGTGCCTAGAGGAGATAATAATAATAACAATAATAATAATAATAATTGTGAACTTATTAACACATTATGTAAAATACCTTCATGTTCTTTACAGTTCTTTAAAATGTATATCAACTGTATAAATATTATTAACTTGATTTATTTTAAGTTATGATATTACGATTTGATATTGAAATGTCAATTTTCTGTATTTATAGGAGATTATTGTCAGTTTTCACAACCACAAACCTTTTAGACCAGTGAATATGTTCCAGAGATTCCCATCGCTGTTAACTCTTAGTGTGCTGCCCACAGTTGAAGATCAGGGTGTACTAAAGAACTTGTTAGCATGTATACTATCAGCTCTGAAGGCAAATGGTGAGTGTAATGGCTGTGTGTGCACTGAACCATGAAGATCTAGTAGTTCCTGATTCAATTCTGTCACGGTTCCTGTTTGTATTTAATAATAATAAGAATAATAATGATTGTAGACTTTTATGGCGCCTTATGATGAGACCTCTATGGGCTTCACATTATCATTACCCCTGTCATTGGATTAAATGCCTGTGGAACACAAAATCAGCTCCCTGGGGAAGTATTTCATAACGTTGCAGCAGCTAATAAGCGCATTTGGCATTTTAACCCTTATCAGGTACCAATTTATACTCCTGGGTGGGTAGAAGCAATGCAGATAAAATGCCTTGCTCAAGGACACAAGCAAAATGCACAGCGAGGGATTAAATCCCAGAACTTAGGGTTGGGAAACCGGACTGTTCCCGCTGCAGCAAATCTTAGCAGTGGAATAGCTTGGTGGTTAAGATGCTTGCCTTCTGATCCCAGGGTCCTGGGTTCAATTCCTGTCAGGGTTGAGGATTTTTTTATCACGACCAAAACAACTCCACTCCATAAACCTCATATAGAGATTTAGTTTGTGTAAAGCATTGTGTCACCTACAAGTAGGACAGTGATATATATTCGCTATTGACAATCCTTGCATGTATCCTGTGCCTCCATAAATAAATAAAAAAATAAATAATATAGTACTTTAGGTTATTGCAGGTTAAATTTTACTGATGATTGCAACACTAAAGAATTTTGTTGGAAAATTGAGAATTCAAAAAAATGTATAATAATTACAAAATATATGACCTTGCTAATGAATGAACATATTTAATTTTCTTTTTTTAGGATCACGCGGTGCATATAGTGAAGTATTGAAATCAGACCATGCAATGATAGATTTCTACAAAAAACTAGGCTTCTTCGATGTTCCATTAACAGACAACAGATCGGAAGATTTTGTCATCCTCGGTAGAAGCATCTAGGTGTTGGGTTATACATTTATTGTAGCAACTAATGGGATAATGCACTCAGTAGACCTTTCCAAACAGTTTTTCCTTGAAAGTGTAAGATGTACAGTTGTCCTGCATTGAAAGTGTAATAGTCTATCCACACTATAAGTTTTCTGTGACAAATACCTGAGATGCCCATATATGGACATGATCACATCCAAATATGAGTATTTGTCACATAAACATTGAGAGTGTGGACACGACTTAATGCTGCTAGAAGTCCTTACTTAATGCTGCTACAAGCCTTTAACCTTAATTTAGATCTCCAGTGCAATCCAATCCATAAATATATTTTTAAAATACTAAAGTGAAGTTACACTAGCAAGACACAGCTGTTTCACTATTGTTTAATACCTTATTTAGACTAGCATATGCAAACGGTTGTAGCAGTTGCGCCAACCAATCACAATTCGTGTGTGGAAGCTCACCAATAGTAGTCGATAAGTAATCGAAATCGCTAATTGTTACCCGTTGTGATTGGGTGCTACATTCTTTATTACTCCCGATTACCGCGGAATCCGATCGCAGGGAAATACTGTACAACAAATTCCACAGACACCAATTGGCTGAGGTCAATCAACATAGGTCTAGTCACCGGAGTCCTAGAACAGTTTGACCTCCCGTTCCAATATAAAGTTTTTATATCAGATTTGGTCTGGCTGCGCTCATTGATTGCGATCGTGAGTAATCAGTTTTGGTTTACTACCATCACAACTGATCGCAACGGAATGTAGTCTGCATATGGTATTATTCCACACTTGCAACAAGCTTGAGCCATGTGGAGGCTTGGATACATCAGGACACCTCACCTAACTTCTGCATACATTTGTGTTCTGTTTCTGATTCAAACAAGGATTCCAAAAAACTTAAAATCATTTCGAATACATTTAAATTAGATCTCGATTAGTTCAGTGTGAACAAAGCTTCAATGTTGGACTTGCATACTTAAATTGAAACTTAGAAATTAAAAAGAGAAAAGTCCCTTTTGTTTTAAATTTGAAAATGTTTAAAAACATTGCAGAAAAACATTAAGGAGGTATGAAATTACAGCACTTAAAAAAAGAAAAATCAAAAATTATATATTCTACATAAATTTACAATCATGAAAGAGATTTAGGTTGGTTCCCACAATAGTAAGATTTTTGATTGCTATTATTATTTACTGATGAATTTTTAATTGATGCTTTTGCATTTTTAAGTCATGCTTTTCCAACTCATGGTTGGTGGTTAGTTTTAAAATAAAAAATTTAATTAAATTAATCACAATGGTATATTAACAAACATTTTCCCAGTAAATTACGATTAGATTTGACAACTTCACAGACAGATTTTAAGGTAATTAATACAACTCACCATTATAAGAAAGTTTATTTAAATACAGGGTGATATTAGCACACAAAAATAAAATATAAACTTCCATGTTAAAAATGATGATAAATTCTCTCTGTATTTCGTTGTTACTAATAGATGTCAGGTTGCATTTAAATTTTATGTTTAATTGAACGAGGTTTATGGTGGAGTGGTCCATGAGGAGTGGTGCAGTCTACAAGAGAGTGATGCACTATAAATAAAATCATTTGCTCATGAGGGACTTAAACGAACTGGCAGCCTTGCAGTTAAGCATGTGCATGGTATATTTGAAATACTGATACCCTCCTAATGGGGAACCCAATATAATGTCCTTTATTTTGTAGACGTACCTTATAAATTATTAAACAAGGTATCGGCATGCTATCTCAAGTTCGGAAGCACATAATATGGTTTAAATAAAAGGCATTTAATTACATTTCATGGCTGTAACTTTGATCAGGTGTCTGGACTGAGCAACAATAAAACAAAGAAAAATATGATACTGTACATGAGTTGTTTTTCTCTTTATTCCTGAAACTGTACACATTTTTTACAATGATGATGAAATTGCAGCTCATCCAAAGCTTAAGTAATTCTGTAGACATTGTACTTTTAAGTTCTTGCCCCTAAAGACAAGAAAACAAATAACAAGGACATTTACAGTTGTTAACCCAAGCCTAGCCTATCAAAATATAATGTTTGTTTTTTTTGCAAAAATATATAATTTTGGACTGAAAAATAATGGTCTATAATTTGACAACTATGATGTGATGACATATGATGACCATATTTAAGCATGCAACAAATTTTGTCAATTCTGGACAGGGCTATAGTCCTTTTCTTACCAACCAAAATGTGTAGGGTGAGCGATGGTTGGCAATGACCCTTAAAACTAGGCCTATACTAAAATGGGGGGAAAATCTAACTACCTAACCCAAATATTCACAAGTCGGTGCTCGGGCAACAATTTATTGGGCTTATTGTAACCGATATATTTATATTTTGATATGAAATATCAAAATATTCCAAAAAAAAAATCTTACAAGGATAAATAGATTGTAGTTGATGTGACTTTTCCTGATAATATTTATAAAATCTTAACAATATTAGCAAATGGCAACCATTTTAGATCCAATACAGACACCATGAACAATTAATTGAGAATATCACTGTAACAAGCTTTAGCATTTCACAAAATTTATTTACATAGTACAAATGAACACAAACATATTGCAAAATAACATTGATAAAGTGATCAAGTTTCAAAAATAATTTTATATATAATACACACACAACTAGAGGAACTCCAACATGCAACTTCACTAAATTCTTGCAACTCATCTTACTGACATACAAGTAATAAGAATAGGCACTCGGAGAGTGTGCGGTGACTGCTTAGTTTACAAACAAGTAACAAAAATGGTACCCAGCACCTGATAATACTTAAAAAATGTTAAGAAAATTTTATAATTGCCAGCTACTGTATATATTTATCTGTAAAGCCAAGCACACGCTGCACACGACGGTCGTCGGCCGACGTGATTCTATGGAGAACGCAACACCACGATGTGCACGCAGACTGCCACCAACAATCAGCACAGCGTCGTGTCATCCACAATGAGTGCCCGAATTGAGGATTTGAGCGTGCCTCATTAATGCTCGGATATGTGTAAACAAATAGGCGTATCAATTTTAAAACATTTGCGGTGTGCTTAAATTGTACGTTTAAGTAGCATTTCAATATACTGTATTGTTGTTATGGTTGTGCATACAATCTAGCTGTGGGGATGCAAATGGTTGTGTGCTACATCCTAGCAAATCATGAATGAGCACCTCGGGATCATTACATTTTCATATTGATTTGGTTGTATCAGTATTCAAATTGATGCTTTTGTCACTACCACCCAGGAAAATAATGATTATGTATAAATACAAGCCACACAACATTTTTCATTTTCAACTGGAAATAGAATAATTATGGGCTTGTAATTAATAATATCATAATATTTGTGAGAGAAACACTCCAAGCATGCTATAAGATAATAATGTTTACATAATACACATTCTGTCTACAACAACTCATATATTTAAAGTAAATCATTAATCAAATGCATTGTAATATTAACCATAAGCAAGAAATATAACCAAACATATTCCAAATTAAATTTTGACTCTATTACTACAACTACTACTACTATTACTACTTTCCTTTACAAATGTTCCCTTTACAAATCTTGATTATTGCTTTTCATACGGTTAATTTTACTTTTCTCTAGGTTAAGCACACATAAGCATTTGGTTTATTTTACTTTACAACTCATAAATTGATCCTGAACCGATTCTATAAATTTTTTTTTTTTTTTTTTTCGATTCTATAAATTTTTTTTTTTTTTTTTTTTTGTAGAGGTAATAGTGTCGAAGGCAGTCTGTTTTTTCATTGATGCTTCCAGGCCAGAAGGCTGTGAATAGCACATACCTCTGTCACATTGCTAAAGGTGCATCATGTTTAGGGTACCTGGGGTTAGCAACCCAACCCTATGCAGCTGTGGCTCAGCAGACCCTCCCATCAGGGGATCCACTGGGTTTTCTGACCCTTGCCAGATATTCAACATTCTTGGATGTGTTGGTCCACATCTGTAGTTCCTTTTTATCTACTATAGTTTTTTTGTTTTTTTAACGGGTTATTAATTTTTTTTTTTTTTACTAATATTGTTTTTACGTTGCATAATTAACAACTTTTTGAAATTTGGTTTAATGCTTGCATCCCTAAATTCAAATTCTGCAAACAGTACTTTTATTCATAAGAGAAAAGGGAGTCCCTAGCTTCATATTAAAACTTAGAAACTTTATACTATAGTAGACAAATACTATGCATCATTATATATTTTGGAGGAATCAGTAATTCTTCCATGGTACTCCCAGATTTGGTAAATCAAACTTAAGTTAAACTTGACTTTATTAGCATTTTTTTAAATGAAATTTATTCAGGGTTGAAAAGTTTGACAATAGTTGGTACATATTCTATGTGCTATAACTAGTTTAGTTTAGTTCAACTTGAAGTAATTTACATCAACATTTTTGATACGATGTAGCTATTTGCATTACATATTGTACACAGCTGACATCCATGTCCCATCCCTCCCCTACTACTCCCCTCCCCTCTCCATCCCCATTTTCATTTCTCAAAAATAGTTTTATACAGTATATGGTGACAGGTCCCCCTGATTAGTACAGGCATGATATTCCACTCCAAACAAATCTGAGAATTAGTCTAGCTCAAGAGCACAGACCAAAGGAACAGAACCACTGAATATTTGAGGTTTATTCGGCTATGGTGTCCTATGGCTTGTCATAAAAATGGTACTGTATATCAGAATACCATGCCTATCTTTAATAAGGCACCACATGGCAATGTGGAAGACTACAAGAAAACCACAAAACACAAAACATGAATCTAGAAAATAGTTTCATGTAGGCACACAAACATACACAAAATATTATTTAGATGTAAAAAAAAATATTATACAAATATTTTTAGAAAATGTTATCACTTGGAAAAAAAATGTTCAATGTCCAATAGTATGTTAGTATTTGACAAAAAAAATGAACCAAAATATGCAAGTGAAAAAATAATATAGGTAATGTCAGCAACATTAAACATGAAATATTGATAACAGAGGGCACACTAATTGCCTACAATAAAAAAAAAACCATTCTGTCCTTAATTTTTATGACCAGTTGGACAATAAATATAGAAATTGTTTAGCAAACACATTTGGCTTAAATAGCTCTAGAAATACTTTGTGACGCAAGTATGGCATTTAACTGATGAACTGATGTGTAACATACAAACATAAAAAACAATACCAAAAACATGGATAAATAAAATTAGAAAAAAGGGAAATGGATACAGAAACAAAACAGACAAATAGGTATAAATACAACCAGGACAGAAATGATATAGGAATGCTTTCATAACAATTTTAAAAAATCCAATAGAACATTAATACTTGAACGATGTGTGTGGATTCAATCTCTACAAATAATAAGATAAATGTTTTATGTTTGTGAAATTCAGTAGTAGTAGTAGTAGTAGTAGTAGTGCAGGACTTATATGTAGATATAAGATATAATTCAAACACACACATTTGGGTTTGTGTAAGAAGGTAGATTATCAATTTATTCTGTCTTCATTTATGATTAAGAGACATATTAAATCATTATCATCACATGTGCAACTCAAATTAATTTAACAAAACTGAAAATCAATTCCACAACATGTGAGATACATTAATGAGCATTAGGGTAAAGTGAACAAAAGGATTATGGGTAGGTAAATGAAGGATATGAGGAACCAGAGGAATTAAGAAAATGATAGAAGGATAATGGAAAAAGGAGATTAGAATGATTTATGGATATGGAAGTAGTAAATTTATGGGACTAGAAGGATTATAGAAAATGACATAGAATAATTAGGGAAACAGAAATTTTAAGTTAAGGAGAGGAGAAAAGGAATACAGTAATAAGAAAGAGGAATAAAATGAGGAGTAGGGTTTCATAGTGGAGAAGGATGGGGTAAAGTGGAGAACTTAATACGGAGAAAGGATTAGGAACATGGTCTGGAACAGATTGACGATAACTTAAAAAGTGAGATTAGGATCAACAGAATGGCAGTGGCTATTGTTAAACTAGTTTTAAATGAATTCGTAATTATCATTGGATCTTATTGCCCTAATTTAATCCATACATACAATAACATCCAATCAGAATTAGGAATTTAAAACTGGTGTAACTATAGCCACTGCCTTACAGAAAAGGGGATCAGGAAATCAGGGGTAAAGATGAGTTGGATTAGTTAATTCAAGAGAGAAATTAATTTAATGTAATTTGGATATAATTAAATTATGTTTCTAATTCAGATGTGTATTAATATATTAAAATAATTTAACATCTTTGTAATTAATGGTTAAATGTGAGAAAAACAAGAGAGTGAAAAGTAAAGATTACAATGAAAGAACATGACATTGAGAGTAGAAAAAATGGAATTCTTCACAAGTGAAAGTCACATTAACAGAGTTATAATGATATACAAAACTAATGGAATACATTTTGGAATAATTTCAACTTAAATTCAGCAAACTGGAATATAAACACAAAACATGTAAATGCACCAATCATTTTTAGAAGACAACCTTATAAGCCTTGAAAAGAGACAGGGTATACAGAGAGCATTGAGGGTGCCTTGGTGAGATAATCATCTCTGTCAACATGAGAAAATGTAATAATAATGGTAATGATGATAATTGAAGATAATACAAAATGAAAGAGAAATATGGTATGAATTTGAAAATTAATTTCCCACTGACACAACAGTTAACAACAAGTATGGGCTTAAAGTCCAATCAGATTATGAACTTTTTTCAAGTCAAAGAAAAGAAAATATTTTCTTAGCCAATTAACAAAGGAATAAAAGCAAATACTAAACAATATTATTCTTGGTAGACCATGGTTGAGGCTGCAAATTTTAGGATGGCACTTCCAGACATCCGTAAATGCCAATCTTAACACTTTAGTTTTACATACTCTACATGAAATTGTAGTACCGTATTTACTTGAATGAACTCCTGGGCGTTTATTGTTGAGAAGGATTTTGGAGGGGATGTATATTCGAGGGAGGCGTTCATTTTTTTTGGTGTAAAATGGATATGTATACTCAAATAAATGGCCATTAATTTCAATGTAAATGTGGAACTACAACACATACATTGTAATTACCATCAAAATGTGAGGGTAACTTAGTTGATTTCAACCAGGTAAGAAAAAAAGTAATTCTACTGGAGCAGAACATTAATAGAATGTGTTGAGAATGAAGCACTTTTTAAATTTGTTCAGTCACTTAGGGAGGGGCATTTATTCGAAAAGAAAAATAAACACCTTGGTTTTATTTTAAATGAATGGTGTTTAGTCCAGAAATTCTGATTATTTGAGACCAGAGGTAATTTGCTTATCTAAATAATGTGATTTTGATTGCCAATCCTTAATATTGTGATCTAAAAGTACAATTTGGGCCATTTTAAGATAAAACTCTTTCTGGGAAACCTACCAGGGATTTTTAATTACGAGACCCACCTGGAAATTCCCGAAGCCACCACAATTTTGGACCCTCAATGCTCAACATTCAGGCTGATGTGGAAGACAAAAACAACTATGAATCAAATGCCCTTGACTCTATTTCAATGAACTACAACAAATTGAAGATGGATGAAATAACATATATGAACAAAAACTGAGACAATAAACTGTAACATTAGCTGAGGGCAGTGTTAGCTATGTGGCCTGTTTTAACTGCTTATTTTAAATCAAACTTTAATTAAAATTTAGAAAATAATCCAGAAATGAAATCCACTTTGTCATTTAAATACAGTACTTTTATGCTAACAAAAGCTAAAATAAATCTTCATCAAAAACATTTTGAAAAATATCACAGACTTAAATTCATTACAAACAAAAAATAAAAGTTAAACACAACTTTAATGCAAAATGACATTAAGAAGAAGTTTGAAAAAAAAGTAGTGATGTTTTGAAGAGGATCTGAATTGCCTTCGTATCTTGTTAATTCCATGCTACTGGAGGGTTGAACTCCTTGTGTTGTACTTCAGACTACCCGTCCTTCTGAAGCTACCTCGGCTCTGTAAATGAAGAAAGTTAGATAGGTGCGTGAGGAAACGTTAGTAGGTCAACGAGACGTGCAAATTTTTAATCTCTTAAGCAACATCAACTATTTTTTAAAAGAAAATTTACTATTTTCTGATTTAAATATAAATTGGAAAAATATATCAACAAGTTATTGCTCAATTTGGAGGATTACAAAAAATATATTGAGATGTTCATCAATAAATCTGTTAGCACTAATTAACAGACTATAGAGGTAGACCCAGGAGAATATCCCCTCCCACTCCATTTCCCCCCTTCATTCAGACTGTCAAAACTGACAATTCAACACTAAAACTAAATATAAAACTGTGGCCCATCCTTTGTTTTCAGTTTATTTCAGTCTTAAACTGAACACCATAAAGGTTTGTAACACTTTTAAGAAAGGCTCTGGAGGAAATACGTTTTCCTAAGACACAAAAGCATACTTGACTAATAACTTGGAAACCATTAATGAGATATAAATTTTTGAACATTTAAAAACTGAGGGGAAAAAGGGGCATACAGTAACCCTCCTTTTTTCCTCAGTTTTTAAATATTAAAAAATCTGTATCTTATTAACCGTTCCTGAGTTTTTCGTCAAATACCGGTATGGTTTTTGTGTCTTTGAAAAACCAGTTGCACAACGTATCAATTTTTTTTTCCTACGGAGCCTGACTATAAAATATTTAGCAAAGGTCCTGTGCACACCTTATGTAATAATTAGGTTTTTTTTGTGTGAATTAGGAATATAAAGCAACAATCGTATATTTATCAAAGATTTGTGAGGAGGTCACAAACTGCAGAAGTACAGAGCTATTAAGCAAACTAGGCAAATATTCTTCATTTTTAATTGTTGACTGATTCTGGGCTTAAAATTTACCAACTGTAAACATACGCTATAGTGTTTTTCCCAGCAATAAACAGGTATTTTGAAAAATTTTCACAATTTATGTTTTCGTAGGATGATTAAAAACTAAATCCACTAAATTCATCATCGATAACTGAGCTATATACTTTTTTTGAATTGAAATATTCAACAAACACAGAAATTCTAGTTTAGAAATGTTTTTATAAGTGTAGGAGACAACTTGTTTTTAAGATTCTTCAATTATTTAAGTTGAAAATCCGCATTCTTATTAAACCAGAATACGTTTTATAAAGAAAATACTTACATTCAAATTAATCAAATTAGGAAATATTCCAATTTTTTTTAAAATTTATATATCTAAATGTAGTTGTTACAAGCATTGAATCAATCAGTCAACATGGTATTCATTAAAAATGATTACAAAAAGATTGCAGCAGAGTTGATGTTGCTTAAGAAATGTAAATAGATAGATAATAATATAAAAGAGAAAAAAATATTCCAAAGTGAATGAAAAGATCTTTAAGTATATTTTGAAATTAAATCAAATAAATAATAATTAAGTTATTTCATAAGCTTCAGTAATAGAAAACCAAAAATGAGTGTTGTTATAATAATGCTAAGTGAAGTGTAGGTAGCAAGCATAAGTTGTCTGTAACCAGTAAAAAAAATTGAAATATGAAATGCCACATGCCTATAGAACTACATAATCAGATTTTGCCCACCCCCTCAAAGAATTTGCCAACTCTAAAATATGTCCTACTTTTTGACTTTTCCTAGACAAATTTCCCCCTATTTTCAATAACGTCACATTTTAATACAGTAAAATTTGTCAATTCTGCATTAAAATATCTGTGCAATTTGCTAGATTAAATTTGTTATATATACCTTGATATCCTATTTTGTTTAGTAACCTAACGAGCACTAACTATACATACCGGTATTAATTTCCATTAATTAGACATTCAAGGTTAATTACTCATTAAGAAATATACTGTATGAATCAATGATGAGATCACTCTTAAGTCATCAGAAACTCACTGGACAACAAGACTGAAATCATCAGACACTTCTAACTTATTGTTCAGTCACAAAAGAAAGTTAATATCGGCATGTTACTAATTTTACATTTTACTGGTCCTCCCACAAAGAAAAACATCATTTAAAGAAAGTATTGTAAAAGATCATAAAAGTACACAAGGTTTAAAGTTAAGTATGTTGTGATAAAATTATTGACAAAAAAATAAAACAATATTATCAATAACTACAATGGAAAAATACAACAAAAAAAATACTATAATAGCAATGAGTAAAAAAATTCAATAATAATAATAATAATAATAAACATAGATAATGATTCATGGGTTGTGCATAAATTTCATTGGCTTGTGCATAAATTTCATTGGCTTGTGTAATTTCAAGCTATGTCATCTACATTGACTAATACCTCTACCAATGCATTAATGAAAATAACAAAAACTAATAATACTACATACTATATAGTAGTTATGCATTATTTAAAAGCATTGCTCATAAAGTGAGATTGATACAAAAAGAAGTTAAAAAAGATAATGAATCAGATGAAGAAAATTTACGAAGAAAGAAACTAATCACATACTCAACTGGTTTTACAACTCTAGATTGATTTAGAAATGAATGCAATTAGAAGAAAGATGGAAATGAAATAAGAATAAGGTTTTGTTAGTACAGTAATATAATTTGCACTAAACCCAACAAATAATTGTACTACTTTACATTGCATCATATCTACGGCATAATGCCCCTCATATTGATTATCTGGACAGAGTCTAGTACAAAAGTGCCATTTCTGGACTTACAATACATTTTAAAAATAATGCTGAACATACATGGCTAGTTAGAATAGCACCTCCTGGGTGAGATAAGCTTCCGTTGTTATATACTTTTTAATTACATAAATAAATAGTGTAACCAATTATCTTTATTTTGCATTGCATAATGTTTTCTTGATATTCCAAGCAACTACTTTCAGTTAAAACTACAGTTACTGTAAATCGTTATACTAGTTGATTTAATACTGAGACAAATATTAAGGTTAATAAAATGTTTTAATGTTTTTATAAAAATAGGTTTATATATGCTATCTCTATACAGTGGAAAATTAAAAGGGCAGAATTTATTTATTGCATTTAATTAAATAACATGAAAGTAACTTGGTATGGAGATACACCTCCACTGGTGTTAATTAAAAATTAATTTTAATAATTATTATACTAAATACCTTTTCTGATAGTAAACCTTTCACCAGGAACAGTTAGTAAATGCATTGTTTTATTAGTAAGTGATGATCAATTCTATAATTATTATATAGACTTATAAAAACTTGGTTATATCTTGTTTGTTTTATAAATATTTTTTTCTCCAGCCTGTTAGTGGAGGTTCTTATTGCCATTGGTTGTGGATTGATTAAAATAAAATAAAATCATATAAAATGGCAGAATTCATTATTGTAATTTCAGCAAATATTTATAAATTCAATTAAAATCCTTCACTATGAGTGGTTTGATGTACAGTACTATGTTTATAATTAATTTCCGTAATGGAAAATCATGTTTTTCTTAATATATCTTTACAAGAAAAAAACTATAATAAAACTCTATATTTTAATCTCCTAGGATTAATTCTTTCAACAGAATGCTAGAAAATGCCAGTTTTTCTAAAGCATTTCACAGATTTTTTAAGTTAATATGAAGAAAAAATATTAGGAATCAAAAAAGGAAAAACAATTTTACTATAATCAAGATAAGTATGAAAATGCCCATTTTTATAGCACAAGTAAAATTGGCACAGTACCAATCAATTGTACTGTCTATTTTTCTCTCTTTAATAATAATAATAATAATACCGTAATAATACATCACAATGATAATTAAGGATATACAGTACTATCTGTATTGAGCAATTATATAATTGAAGAATAGTAGTCAATATTTAAATTGCTTTACTTGTATATTTAGGTTATTAGCCTTTAATTGAAATAAGAAAGATAATATTATTTTCCTCTCAAAATAATATTCCTATATTCTTTTGTTTTTTATTAATTGAATGGATATCATATTTTAGGATTTTCTTAACAAAATAGTTTGTAGGAAAAGTTATACCTTATTTAAGCCTTTTATTTGAGCAATGTAAGGTTAAATTTGTTTATCGTTTTTCAGATTTCCTGTAGGCAGAATTTGAGGCTTGCCATCCAAAAACCAGCATCACTGACCAAAAAAAATTGAAAACTGACTTTTTAAATATTCTTATAAGCTTTGAAATGATGAGTCATTTACTGGAATTGACTACTATTGCCAAAGTTATGAGTAAAAGTATTACAGCTTCTCTGTACTAAAGTATACGCTGCTGCCACATTCTTATGCTAGTTACTCAGTTTAACATTTAGTGACAGTACGCTGGTTTTGGGATGGCATGCCTCGAATATTTAAATATATTTCCAAGTGAATTCACTTCATATTACTTGACAGAATTTCAGATTTTTGCCCATCTAGGCTAAGAGATCTTTTCATTTTTGTAGGAGACTTAAACCTGCGAAAGAAACGTTTAAGCCTTTTGTGTCGCCCTACCTCTGAGTTTCTAGAGGATGTTGAGCCACTTGGTCGTTTGGAAAGAGCCTCCGTCGAAGCGTGGTAGCTCCGCTGTTTCAACTTCGGTGATTGCCCAACATGACGCCTTGAAATATTCTCCATGGATGAATACATACTACTACTTCTAGGCCTGGACCTGTTATGTGACAATCTATACCTAACTTCATCTACACTCTCACTGTCGTTCTCTTCCTCGCTGCCAAATTGGTTATACCTAGGATCATTAACGTAAGTGGGGTAGTAAGCAACGTCCGTTCTTTGCGTCACAAAATGCATGTTAGGTAGCTGTGCTGTTTGTCTGGTTTCATACGGAGATTGGTACGGAGACTGTCGCACATGGGGATTTCCTGATGGAGGTAGGCCGACTACAGGTAGGTTTTCTGTGCTTACGTTCAAGGTTTTGCTACTTCCGTAGCGTGTTGAGTAGCGTGGAAGTGGTTGTGGCGGCTCCGGAGCAAAGTCAGGAGGAAAGTCTGGTTCAAAGTCGATGTCCGAGTCTGATCCAAATTGTTGGCAATCTTCATCCTGAGTTTCTAATTCCTGCTGGTGGAACCGTTCCTCTGCAATTTTATTGTCCAAGGGTTCGCCACTATCCTTCACAACACCCTCATCAATTTCTTCTGTAAAAGATAAAGGTATGAATATATAAATAAATAAAATAAAATAAACAACAAATAAATAAAACAAAGCAGCAAAATATATCAAAATAAACAACAAATAAAATGCATACACATATGAATAGGTAACTAAATAAAAACATTTCAAAAATGTTTGCATAGGAATTTTCATCAGAAAGAGAAAAACAGCATTCCTAGTAACAAATACAAAAATACGCACTATAAAAACATAATAAAACAAATATAATTAATAATATATAATAATTAATTAATATATAAATATAATTAATATATACAGTAGTACAGCAATAAACACAGGTAACTGTTTTTTAATAAAGACAAAATATGCCTAATAAAATGATAAATTTCATTCATATTTTAATTTTAATTATATTTTTGTGCATCGTTAGAAGGAAGACTTAATTTTCAAACATTGTACATTACTGTATTTGAGTTTGACTAAATGAATTTGAATTAAATTGTCTATTCACAAAACTGAGTATGACAAAACACAGCAAAAAGTGGGAGGCCAGTAATAGAGAAATATCATTTTTAAGTTCATGAGAGCTTTGTTTCACCTTCTGTTTCTTCCTGAATTGTTCTGTCAATGATCACTTCCTTCTTATGTTCATCTGATTGGTATCGGCGGATTTGGTCAATTAAAGTGGCTTGACCCTGTCAAAAAAAAAACCAAAAGTAGCTTAATGTTTGTAAACATTATGAAATATAAGGAAGTATGTAATGTTGATGATAAAATATATAGAAGTTATTGACCCCCATCTGTAGAGCATAATAATAATAATAATAATAATAATAATAATAATAATAATAATAATAATAATAACTATATTTAAATAAGGAAACACTTCATTGGTGTTTTTGAACAAGGCCGTAAAAGACAATTCAAATCAACAAAACATAATTTAAATTTATATGGTAAAAATAGACAAATTACATTTACAAAAGAAAACCATACTGAATGAAACTTAACAATAACTAATCTAAATGATCTTAAATACACTTACATCATTAACTGAATATATGGCACAATTCATACCCCCCCAGAAAAGTTTTGCACCGCATGTGCCCCTTCCCACTGAATACAGTTAAACTTGCCTAAGTCGACTGTGCCTAAGTCGAATAATTTCTAAGTCAATCTTAATTTACATGCCAAATTGTTGTGTTTTCCATTAATTAACAATCTGTAAGTCAACTTTTATCAAAGTCAAACAATATTTCAATGGCATTTTGGATTCTACCGCGGCAACTCTACTTACAAGAAAAATAATAGTTTACAGTATAGCACAATGAGTAATACAAAAAAATCTCTTTAGATTACAATTTGTTATATTTGTGTTTATCATGGTAATTATTTATTAGTGTTCAGTAATTTCTGAATAGTAAAATCCAATTGCATCTAAAGATAAAATTATCTAAAATTTCATCCTTAAAAAAATAAACAAGTAAAATAAAATAAAATAAATAAAAATAATAAATAAAATAGTTTCTGAATAGCCTGTATTTTAAGCAGATTTGAAATTCCTATGTGAATGATACAAGCGTAACCTCAGGGAAAAGGCACTATTTAAATTAAATGACCCTTATTATTATTATTATTATTATTATTATTACTATCCTTAATTGTAATGAAATTGAGCCTCCTTCGAAATGGGATAGTAAAAATGCCATGTTATAGTGATGTTGATTATGTGTTCAAATGGATATTGCTTCAAATCCAATGCATTCCAGTGGCACTGCAAAAAGTATTCAAAAAATGCAATCTTCAGGATAATGATGCTACCCTTGAATGCAACAGTAGTCCATGCCAAATATAGCAATCAAGATACGACCAGGGTAGCAGCTTCGTAATAGGCCTATACAGTAATAAGAAGCCTATTTTGATTTATACCCTACAGTAGTTCTGTGGGTATCTGCCTACCTCTGTATCCCTCCAAATAATTTACTACCGATTCAATGTACCAGCATTTCCACAAGGAAAAGGCCAGAATATGATTTGTATGAGTAGCATTAACACCATAAAAAGATTGTTATAGATTCAAACATATAAAGTAACCTAAGCAGCTGCAGATTTAGGCCCAATGGTCTATTAAACTGTTGGCCAGCAAGACAGCTAAATATCGTTGTGGGGATGATTGGGACAAGGGGAAGTGAGGGTTACATATTTGAGAAGTCAGCTGCATTTTCTATCAAACTTTGTCAAACATGATCCTGAAAATCCTAGCTTACATGAACCAGAGATTTTTCATGACATGTAAGACGTGACTTTTTTTATACCTTGGATTGCTAACTCACTGTCCAGCAAATAACAATTTTGAATAAAATATAATTTATTTTTGTCCTATTAGTGCACACACCTGCATAAAAAAAATTGAAATTTCAAATATATAGTACCCCCTGATTTCTCTTTTCATTTTGCCTACTGCTGGCCTAAAATCGAATAAGAGATATTTTTTCTTCACTAATAAAGCAACTATCAATCTGATTACATCATACTGTTACTTTGTTTGGGATGGAAAGCATAGGCCTATTCGTGGACCCTGCAGATTTATGTCCAATGGTCTATTCAACTGTAGGCCCGCAAAACAGCTAAATATTGTTCTGGGATGATTGGTAGGTACAAGGGGAAGTCAGGGTTAAATATATTTGAGAGGTCAGCTGTATTTTCTATCAAACTAGTTTTGAGAAAAAAAAAGACAGCAATAGGACCTTGAACAAACAGCAATAGGATCTCAAACAAGGGCTCTACAGTCCCCTTTATTACTACTGTAGTATTTTACAACACTTGTAATAGTAATGGTAATCGATATAGCACCTTTTCCAGAGTATACAAAGCGCTATGTACTAACTGTAACTTGTTTCATTGACTTTCTTGTCCCCTGGGTCTCTTCTTCATGTCTGAGCTACCAGGTAAACTGGTACCAGGTACTCTCGTCTGTCCACAACAGGGGATGTACAGATACGGATACAAATCTTTTATTGTCATAAAAATACAAGGTTCAATTATGAAATTTTCCTTCCTTATTTCAAATCTACTCCAGTATGTATGGACGAGTTTGTACTCCGGGGTGACCCCCTACTCTTCTCGAAAGATATGCTGGGTTCTTTAAAGTGCACATGAGCATTTGTGTACACTGGGCCTATGGTTTATAGTCCTTATCCGAGAAGACCTGTTCCCCCACCAGAACCATAGGCGAGCATGTGCCGATATTATGGCTGTATGTTGCGGCGCCACTGCACTAACCGCTCATCCATCCAACATATATGCCACATTGTGATACTAAAAAACAGGAGAACTGGCCTGTGTGGTGGGTTCGGGAGGAGTGTATCCCCCATTACACAGGGATCGCTACTTAATGTATCATAAGGGTCATTTTTCTTATGTTTATGTAGTCTTTACTGACCAGACACCTTGCAATCATAATCCAGTGTATACAAGGCAAGCATGACTTTGCAGCGCTCACATCCACCTCACACCACTCATAGACAGGCTATGCTGTTGCAGAACAAAAAAAAAATATTGAAAGATAACCTAAATATTGAGGTTTTTCGTAGTATTTTATTGCAATAAAAGACAATACTGTACAAGTAATATACTATATTAGTACACCTATGCAACTTTCTTTGTAAAACGTAAGACAAAAAATTGGCCAGGAGTCGGTCACCAAAATGCGAGTCACCTGGCTAAAAAACAGGAGTGTTGGCATGTATGCTTGTATTTTGAACTTTTTTTCTGCCTCCTTCGGCGACCTTTCAAAAGTTCAGGTATAAAATGTCTCGTCTGGGAATGGGAAGGTGAAAGGAATAAAATATTTAGGAAGTCACCTGTATATTCTGTCAAACTAGTTTTAAAAATTATTTTGTCAAGTATGTTCTTGAAAATCCTCATTCTAAACCAGAGAAATTTTTTTTTATGACATGACATTTATCTGACTTCTCAGCAAAGATCATAATATGAAACTATAGCCTATTCATTTAATGATCAATGTTATTAACCTGAATTTAAATATTTTTTAGCATGTAACAGCAAAGCTAATACATCTTGCATGCATTACTGGTAAAAACTGCCTTCCATGTTTTAGCAACATTGGATATATTTAGGTTTAACAATAAAATGTTTATAGTTGGTGCTCATATTAAGTAACAATAGCCCACTTAAGAGTATATTGTCATAACATGATTGTAACTCTGGCCAGATAAGAATCATACATATAGTTTTATGACCCACTTAAAAATAAATTTGAATTACTAAATAACCTACAGTAGGTGCCAATATAAAGAGATGAAAATAGGAACAATAATAATTTAGTAGTACTGTCTGTATATACTGTTTCCTTTAGAATGGGATACAAAGGAATGGCAACGCTATTACCCCTGGTCATTGGATCATATTGGCCTAGTCATTGGATCATGAAGTCCAAACTTCTCCACTCCCTCATTTTTTATTTTTTATTTTATTTTTATTTTATTCAATTTCCAGGTAACATACAAAAATACAAACAAACAGTGGAGCACCCCGTGGATTGCCGAAAGTACATAAGTACTATCAGGCGGCTCTCCAATGCAACACCATTACACAAACATTAAAATTTAAAAATTAAAGCTGCCTAATAAATAATCGAAGAGC